ACAAACGGAGACGTAACAATATATTTATCAAACCTACATGAAAAAACACCCCAAAACTTTTTAAAATGTAGTAACATAGTTTTAAAGCGAACACCAAAAAATCTCAAACCATGGAGACTGGGAAAGAGGGATTAAATTTAAATCCTCGTACTTCAAAAGTTCTACCACAATTTGTTATTACAACAAGCCTATTTTAAAACAAGAGAAATTTTCATTTAAAATTAAAAGTTTTACCTGTGTGTATGAGAGGTGCATTAACTCCAAAAATGTACTTTAGATCTTCTACTAGCTAACACAAGTTACAATAAACTATAAATAATTGTTTATCTAAATATAAATTTCATTTTCTCAAAATCTCATTAACCGACTTTTGCTAAGGGCCGCACAGATTTGGAACATCAGATTGAAGTAAGTCTAGTTAATAAACAAAATCTCCAGAGCTTAAAAGTTAAATAGTAATTCAACTTCTGTTTACTAAAGTTAATTCTAGATACATTTAGTGTGGGAGTATATCCAATATTCCAAGTTTACTCACCGATTTTTACAATCCTTTTTCCTCTTTGAATCTCAAATATTGTCTTTACAAATGTTTATCCTAGCTTATAAGCTTCTATTCAACATTCAGGATATCATTAGTGATTATGATTTTGTATTTACTGTAGGAATTTGCTGAAGAGGGAATGTGTGAATTCAATAACGTCGCTCCTGTGGTTGTATTGTTTGCTATTAGAAATAAGTTATTTTAATCTTTGATTGGAACGCGTTAACATTCAGAAAATGAGACACTTCTGATAGACGGAAGACGGTTACTCTGTGAATCTATTAAAATAGTTTATTGAAAATTTGTAACTATATTCATTTATATCAACTTAAAATATACAAATTCATAAAGTGTTACCATAAAAAAAGTCTAGTATGATTGGATGGCACAGGTATCATTTTTAGCTTGTATGCGGTGTCACTTTTTCTTAAACTTAGAGCGTCTTGATCTGAACTGATATTTGAATCGAAATAATTTCAATTATCTGCAGTTTTAGAGTTTAGACTCTGGATTAGGTAAGTGGTAACAAGTTCTAAAACTAAAAGCAGCCCAGAGCATAAAATTAGGCTAGATCTACAGAGTATTCAGTACTGTTTAGGTGCTGCAAAAATATGTTAAGATTTTAAATTTCGAAATGAAAAATATCAATCTCGTCAATCGCCTAATAGCAGTAATATTTGAGGCGTTTAGTAATAATGATAGTAATACTACTAATACTAGTATTTCTATATTATAGATTCGACAAAGAAATATCACAAATAAAAAAATTAATGTACGACAGAATGTAATGGACTAAAACAAAACCATATAAGCTGTACACGATAGAACTTAGATTTAGAAGGATTAATAAATGAATGGTAAACGAAACCAGAACTATAAAATTAGAATTCGCTATCTCGGTATTTGAGTACCTCACGTTAGTAGTACTCACTAGTCATTTCCATTAAAATTAGGTTGGTAATTTCGCAATGTGATGGTAACATAATCATATATTTGAAGAAAACTTAACCTTATGTGGTGTATTATGTACTCTATCTTAATTTGTTAAAAAAACAACTAGTTTTTAATGCATGTCAAATCGTATTTTGCCCAACGAGTGTATTAATACTAATAAAGAAAATATACCATATTTAACAAAGTTCATCTTAAATACCTGCAACTGTGTTCAATTTCATTTCTTTGAGAATAAAAGATGAAATTTATTTTACTTTAATTATGGAGTAAACTTCTTTAAGTCCTGTTTGAAATGTTTGTGTTTAATTCATTGATAATACTGAATGCTGTGCATATCGACAGAAGAAACATCTTCCATCTTAGTTGAGATTACATTTTTTCAGACACAGCAAAAATAAGAATTTCGAAATGAATATCCTAGCAACATATGATAAAAGACACTGAATCAGAAATAAAGGTCACATCTTTACCCTGTGTGGGTTCATATTCTTGTTTTATAGCCTTTAAAAAATGATGTCAATTTTCCTTTTTGGTTCTGAACTGCATTTACTGATGTGAAGTCTAATAACATAAACTTTATAAAATTAGTTTAACTCGTGTTCTTACCTATATCAACCATAATAATGTTGTTTAAAATGAATATGTATTACCAACTTCTTTACGAAGACAATTGATGCATGTGTTTTCACATTCCAAGCTCTTTATAAAAATAATCTCTGATTCTCCTTTGATTTTATTTATTGAAATTGGTTAAAATTCTTATTTGAACCGTATCCATTAATCAAAATTTTGATATAGCGTGTATATTTTTCAGCTAATCTATTTCTAAAATCTACACTTGTTACTATTAGTATAAAAGGAAATTGAATGTATACCTTTTTGTAATATTACATTTATAGTCATTTCACACCCAAACTCATTGTAGGTGCAATGGGAAAAATGAAATTACATGAAAATTAAAAAATAATAATTATCTTTTTTAACTGTGAAAATATAAATGCAAAAAATAATATTCATATATCATTCATACACTGTGCTCTACCAGGTATTCACCTGGAAGGAATAAAGTGATTTTTGTTTAATCATAAAAATAAATTTTTTTGAGTATGTAAAACTATCAAATGTGAAAATAAAATCAACAATTTTTTTATTGAAAATCTGTATTTCAACTTCTGTATTTTTGTTCATAACCATTATATAAATCAACTTGATTTCATCATGAGTGTGTGTGAATCTGAGTAAAAGTGATGTAACTTTGAGAAAATATTGTGTAATGTAATTTTTAGTTCATTTTGATTTAATTGATGGACCAGAAATATGCCAACACAGTAACTGTGGAGGAATATGTGACATACCTTATGTGTGTATGTGTATCAGCAAATTACGAGTAATAATATTATTAAACATGTTAGTATTTATTATACCTCTAAATACAAAATATATATCTGAAGGAAGCTGTCGCGCTGATGTCGCTGGACTCGCCCAGAGGACTTGTCCCGAGTGCTTGTGTATGCATGGCTTAGATGCTGTGCCCCGCCT